TCTTGTAGTAAGGAGCAAGTGTATCACTGACTGATTTAATGGAGGCAGGCCAGCCTTTTTACATTTGCACACACAGATCTGTCAGTTCAGGGCATGTGGAGCAATATGAATCAAAGTCAGTAACAGGAAGTGTAGATAGAGTTGCAGAAATCTAAGCCACCATTTCTGGATCCATGTATGGTACAGGATCTGAAGTCACAGGCAGAGGCAAGCGTGAGAGGCAATCCACTGTGTAGTTTTGAGAACCCGGTTAGTAGATGACATCATAATCAAAACACAGCAGGCAAGCTGACCATTGTGCAATGTACATTCCAGCTGTATTAATTCCTTTTTCAGAAACAGCTGTATTATCATTGTACCAGAATACAGTGAAATTATGTTCGTACAGTCGTCCAAAAGATGAATGGAACGCATGTTGCTGCTGCTGAGAAGCACGGCCCCTATTCTTTATCAGAATACTTTTAGATAGAAAAAGGGAAGAACCATGAGGATAGATAGTGGTATTACAAAAAAAGATCTCTTCACATCTTGTCCTATCAGGACACGATTTGTGACATCAAAAAACTCTACCAGCAAGCACATTCAAAACATGATTACATATGCATTTGACGTCAAAGTCCATGAGCGTTTTTCAGATAGGTCACAGTTCTGATGATGTTGTTTCAGCCGGCAATTCTAACAAGCCATAAGAGTTGTGATAGATTAAGCTTTTGTCTTTTTTGACCCTGGAGAAATTTAATAGTCGGCCCATATTCAAGGCCAAACTAGGGAGTCAAACTCAGATAAGCTTCGATTGTTGATTTTCTTCAGGCAGACAGATTTTTTTCCTCGTCAGCTTTGAGTCCTTCTGGAACCTTCTGGTTCAAAATGGCCTGATTGATGGGAATCCATTCCACTGATCCATGTTATGAGCCTCCTTCAAGGTCGATCCCACCATGCTGACAAGTCCCAGAAGCCGCAGGTGGCCGGCGATTCTCAGAAATCGCCTCCATCTTACAGTTTATCTCGTAAATCAGCTGATTTTGAGTACTCATAGAATGAACCAAACCTTCATACTGACTTGGAAGCTTTGTCATGGCCGAAACTGCTGCCGATGTCTTCTTTAAAAGTCGATAAAACAGCCCCACCAATGCCAAAAAGCAGAGTCCTTGCTATCATAAATCCAAATATATAAACGTCTTCAGCGTCCTCCTGAGACAGGACTGAGAGGCACATCAGCTGTGCCAACTCCGCACGGATCCCTGACATACCCCACAGCGTGAGTCTCAGCTGGACAAGCGGGTTGTTTTGTCGAAAAGATTTTGTACTCAGAAGTGTGGTCAGAGCTTGATGGTCCGTTCAGAGGGTGAAGTGTCGACTTAATAAGTATATTCTCCATTTCTCTGTAGCCTATACACATGCTAGCACCTCTTTCTCAATGGTAGAATACTTTTGTTCAGTCTCAGAAAGTGTGTGGGAAGCAGAAGCCACAGGCTTCTCTGTTCCATCAGGCTAAAGGAACAGTCTGTAATCACGGGCATCAGTGGATATCACAATGCATAGGTTAGGATTAAACAGTGCAAGAGCAGGGCTGTTCAGCAGAAGCTACTAAATATCTTCAAAGCTTGTCTGTGCTTCTGTAGTCCATGCATAGTTGCTTGTTGTACCTCCACAAGAACGCATTGGAACTACTATAGTTGCAAAATTCGGCAAGAACTTGGAGTACCAAGACACCAACCCCAGAAAGCATCTCAATGCAGCAACATCAGTAGGTGGAAGAGCATTCAAAACAGCATCAACAAGCTCTTTGTCTGGGTGAATGCCATCTGTTGTTATGACATGACACAAAAAGCATAATGTCTTTCTGAAATGACATTTGTTTTCATTTAGCACAGGGCCAGCAGTTTTGAGCTTTTGGAAGACTGCTTTCATGTTGCTGTCATGCTCAGCAGGAGTTTTACTGTAGATGATGAGGTCATCCACATAATTCTGGACACCTGGAAGATCTTGGAGAATCTTAGCCATCATTTTTTGAAAATCTGAGGGAGCGGAGGCGAGTCCATAAGGAACTCTACAAAATCTGAACAGACCTTCGCGTGTGCAGTTAAATCTCTGCTATCTTCATGCAGAGGCAGCTGGTAGTATACATTGGCCACGTCGATTGTAGGAAACTGTGTGGCACCTTGTAAACTGACAAACAACTCATCCACATGTGGTAGAGGATAGCACTCTGTGATCACAGCTTTGTTTAGTTCACGGAGGTCAGCACACAATTGTATTCCTCCTGTTTTACGTCCTGTTACTAGAATTGGTGAAACCCATGGTGTTGCATCGATTCGTTCAATGACTCCAGTTTCAGGAGGCGTTTCAGTTCTGCTGAAACTGGAGCTCTCACTTAAAAGGGAAGGCGTCTAAGCTTTTGTCATACAGGTTGGACTGTAGGATCCACTTTTACTTTATGAACAAAGGATTTCACACAGCCTATATCAGGAGCAGCAGAGGTGAGCAATGTAGGGGATGTGTCTGCTGTCATCACAGGAATAGCAGGGGCAGTGCATGGTGGACGAACAGTGTTTCCAGTGATGCAGATATGCAGTGCTTCCATCAAGTCTCTGCCAAGAAGAGGAGTGCCCTGTTTTATAACAAAAAGGGTAGCTGGTGTGGTAATAGTTCCTCTACTTGCTTCAACTTGTAAACATCCTTTTACAGGGATTGTTTTCTTCATATAACTAGGCGGAGGACAGGAGAGCATAGTGGTGTTCCACTGAAGTGTTCTTTGTAGATTTGCTGAGGCAGTATAGAAACTGCAGAGCCTGTATCGACAGTGAACCTCAAAGTCTTGGTAGGTGAAGTAGGTGTGCTTAATTCAGTATCACACTGTAGGGTTTTTGATGCATGCAAAGTATCTCTCAAATATAATACAGTTAGATTTTGTAACTGAACTTCACAGACTTGTCTTGTTTCAGATGAGTAGCAGAAATGTGCAAAGCGATGAACTTTTTGGCAGAGGTTACATGTAGCTTTAGCAGCTGGATACTGGGGAGAATTAGCAAGGTGTTTGTTTGAACCACACCTAAAGCAGCACCTAAAGTAGATGATGCAGCAGGAGGTGACTTGACAGATCGAAGAACAGATTTATTATTCTTTGTAGCTGAGTATAAACAAGGCTGTATAGCTTGGACATGTCTGTCACTGTTAGCTGTTAGTGCTTTAGCTTGGTAAGCTGCTGATTCCATTTGTGCTGCAAGACTAACAGCTTTATCTAATGTCAAATCAGGTTCAAGCAGGAATTTCTCTTATTTTGGATTGAAGAGGTGTTCAACTAATTGAACACGGATAATTTTCTCTTGTCTTATCATCAAAGTCACATTTTGAAGCCAGGTCACGTAAGGCAGTCACATACTGCTCAACTGTCTCATTTGGTGCTTGTGTTCGCTTTCTGAAAGCATGCCTTTCTACAACAAACCCTGACTTTAGGTGAAAAGTGTTTATCCAGAGCATCAATAATAGAAGAAAATGTGTCACCTGTGTTTGTTAAGGAGTAGAAAGTACGTTGTCCTTTGGCTCCCAAGCAGCGTAGTAATGTTACTCTCATCCGTGTGTCAGGCCAAGCATTCCATGTTGCATTAATCACCAGCAAGTAATTGTTGAACATACGCATCCACATGTTAAATGGTAGAGTAGGTTCTCCTGGGCAAGGTAAAAACAAAGGTGGTGGATGGACGTTAGCAGCCATGCTAATTCAGCAGGAAGAAAAAAAAAACGTAGGCAGAAAAACAAGAATTATCTGATCCCTCGTCGCCAATTTGTAGTGGTGTGGCAAATTAGACAAGCTCTTGTAGAACTCAGTGCATTAATTTAACATAGCACATCAGACACGAACTAAAATATGCCAAAAGCACATTTTCATCAGGCTTCTTCATCAATATCATCATTTTCACTCCTTCTACCCTTCTCATCTTCACTTCTTATCCTGCAGCCCCACCTAGTGGCGTGAGCAACAAGGCATTACACAACACAACACAGGCATACTTGCAGTTCCTAGAGTTACCAAGAGCAGAATGGTCGGCAGAGATTTCAGTTATCAGGCTCCTCTCTTGTGGAACCAACTTCCAATTTCTGTCCATGAAGCTGACACGTTGTCCAGTTTTAAAACTGGGCTTAAGCCTTTCCTTTTTGATAAATCCTATAGTTAGGGTTGGCTTGTTATGCTGCCATAGGCTTAAACTACTGGATGACAATTTCACCTAATTTCTTAAAATTTATTTTTTACAATTGTATAGTTTTCATTTAATATTATTTCTATCTTAACATGTGATTCTCAACCTGCCATGGTGTATCTGTTCCTCCTTTCTGTTCTCTCAAACCCAGACTGTCAAAGCAGATGGCCACTTGTCCTGAGCATAGTTCTGCTGGAGGTTTCTTCCTCATGAGGGAGTTTTTCCTTTCCACTGTTGCCTTTATGCTTGCTCAAAATGAGAGTCTGCAATGAAGTTAAACTCAAAGCAGTCGGCTCCTCAGATAATTAATGTTAACTTACTTTTCATATGAATGTTTCTGTACAGCGTCCTGAGATGACTTCTGTTGTGACTTGGCACTATATAAATTGAATTGAACTGAAAAATATCTTCAGTAAGACAATCTAATTGCACATCTAAATGAATGATTAGTCAAAGACTCCTCCAGATACTCATCTAGTCCCCTCTGCATTTTCAGCCCAAAACTTTTGCACCTGTAAATAGACACTTAGTTTTGTGTCTCTGTAGTTCTCTCAGTCTGCCACTTGGGGTCAATCTTTAGTTAAAATCCTGTTAGTATTAGTCTTTTATAATCACGGTTACATAGCCTGTATTTATGCCAAATTCTGCAAACAGTAATCTATTCAAGTTTATTATGCTATTAGCATAATTTACATCAACAAAAGAATGTGGGATTCCTGTCACATGACTGGCTGTATTGTCTTTAAGCTCAGGTTAGAAAAAAAACAAAAAACTTTTTATTGAACAATTACAAAATAAATTATGGAAAATGTGATTAATATTTCCTATATAACTTTGTGTGGGTATGTGGACATGAACAAATACAGGTTTTTGTACTTTACTATCATGTTTGCAGTATATATTTTGATAATATGTAGTAATTCAATCATTGTGTATCTGATCTGGATAAACAAAAGCCTCCATGATCCTATGTACAGGTCCTTCTCAAAAAATTAGCATATTGTGATAAAGGTCATTAT